AGTTGGATGCTTAACTGACTGAGCTACCCAGGGGACCACTGAGGCATTCTTTTTTAAATAAGAACAACATTAGAAAGAATATTTGTGCAGTAGGGGCACATAGCATAGTGTTTCAACATGAAAACCAGTGATAAATACCTGAGAGCTTTGCCTGGCCACTTTAGGTATTTCTTAAGGTCCTAAGTTCACAAAGATATTGCCACTCTACCATTATGAAATCCTTTTCATTTTAATTTCAAAAAGTTTCTCTCTATATATCATACCTGTTTGGACTTTTATTTTTATTTTTTTATTATTATGTTATGTTAATCACCATACATCACATCATTAGTTTTTGATGTAGTGTTCCATGATTCATTGTTTGCATATAACACCCAGTGCTCCATGCAGAACGTGCCCTCTTTAATATCCATCACCAGGCTAACCCATCCTGTTTGGACTTTTAAATACACCACCCACACTATGATTATAACCACCCCTATCTTTCTCAGGTGCCTCTTCAACCCTACTGGTTGCCACTATATTGATTCATGTGAGGAGAAAATGAATAAATGAGTAAATAAAATCTAGTTGGACTAGATTCTATGAACTAGATTCAATGGTTGGACTGATTCTATGAACTTCAAACTTCTATTGGCTTTTATTGTATCTTATAAATATTCTTTGAATGTGAGTCTTATTGCTTTTAAGGAGGGCTGGGTCTAGCACAAGAAGAGTGAGGGGTCTGCACAAGATTTAAGGACCAAAAACTCAGTAATCAAAATAAATAATATTTTAATACAATAGCTTCTAAAAATCAAAATTAATGCAAAAAAATCCATGATGAACATTATTAAAGTTTTAAATAAGTACCAGTGTTCAGCTGAGCCATACTGGAGCCTAAGGTAAAAGGAAATATGTGTACCACTATAGATATGTTTTTATGTATTTTTAATGATTAATTTTTTTCCAGAACATTTAAGCATTGAAAAAATATTGAAAAAACAAAATCTCAATATTGAACAATCAAAAAATATTAAAACTCACCATTAGCTTAAATATTTTGTTTATAACACAGAATGCATTATAATCTTACTTTCCTGGCTTTAATGGAACAAATCCAACAACATTTTCAAAATCTTCTTTGCTTATCTCATTTTCAATTGTGAGAATTGCAATGCTTGACAATTTCTCTTGACAAAGTAACAATCTTGTAGATAATCTTAAGGCCACTAGTTCACAAATATAGTTCTAATCTAACTTTAACATTATAAAAGGGATTCTTACTTGGTTTTAATTCTTTTTAAAAAAACTCTCTCTGTATCACGCCTCAAACTAATTAATAAGCAAAGGCAGTATAGCACACCAGGAAAGGTACAAGAACACAGAGAAACACACTTTGGGGTGCTGGCGTGCAAGGTGTGCTGAAAGTTGCCAGTCAAACAGGAACACAGAACTTTCTGGCACTACAGTATCTACAATAAGCACTCAGAAGCAGCAGTCCACTGGAGGGATTTGAAATTAATCTCAAAAGGAAGCACTGGTTGTTATACGAAAACAATGAATCGCGGATCACCACATCAAAAACTAATGATGTATTGTATGGTGACTAACATAACATAATAGAATAAAATTAAAAAAAAAAAAGGAATCATGGACCTAAATGTGAAACATATTAACTATAGAATTTCTAGAAGAAGACATAGAAGATCTTTGTGATCTTGGGTTAGGCAAAGAGTCCTTAGACAGGACACCAAAAACACAATCCATAATAGAAAAATTTATAAACTGGACCTTATAAAAATTAAAAACTTTTACTCTCTGAATGACACAATTAAGGGAATGAAAAGACAGGTCAGAGATGGGGAGAAAATATTTCCAAGTCACGTATCTCATAAAGCACTTAAATCTGAAATATATAAAAACTTTCAAAATTCAATATTAAGAAGACAACTCAATTAAAAAAATGGTCAATCGATTCAAACATACAGACTGCCAAAGATATACAGATGGCAAATCACACATGAAAGATGCTCAAGATCACTAGTCATTAGAGAAATGCAAATTAAAACCACAGTAAGATACCACTACCACTAAAATAAAAAGACTGATCATACTAAGTGTCAATGGGAATGTAAAGTAACTACAACTGTCATACTGCTGGTGAGAATGTCAACCATTATGGGAAGCAGTCTGTCAGTCAAACATATAACTTTATATGATTCAGCCATTGCATTCTCAAGAGATAGGAAAGCACATGTGCACATAAAGACTTATACACAAATGTTTACAGAAGCTTGGTTTATATCCAAATACTAGAAGCGGCCCAAATGCCCATCAACAAGTGACTGGATAAACAAACTATGGTATATCTATATAATGGAATACTATACTACTCAGAAATGAACTATTAATATATGCACCAACACAGAATATCAAAATAATTATATTGAGTGAAAGAGGCCAAACAAAGAAGAGTATATACTGCATGATTCTATTTCTATAAGATTCTAGAAAATCAAATTAATCTATAATGACAAAAGCAGATCAATGGTGACCTGGGGGAGTGGGCAGGAGGGTCGGAAAAGAGCATGAGAAAACCATTGGGAATGATGGCTATGTTCATTATCTCGATTGTCATAATGATTTCACAGGTATACATCTAAGTCAAAACTTCTCAAAATTAACATTATCTATACATACCGTTTATTGTATGTCAATTATACTCCCCCAAAAGAGCTGGTTTTTTGAACAGGAAAAAACAGAGCAGGTGGTCTGGAAGTGACTAAGTGAAAGATCAGGAGGACAGAGGTTGTGCTCAGATACAGGTCTGTATGATGACAAGGGTGCAGAAGAAAACCAGGAAACCACGGAGGGTGAGGGGTCGAGGAGCTGATGGGTAACTTGATAAGAAGGGAAAGGACTCGGAGACAGCTAAGACATTAAAAAAAGTCAAGTAGGCAGATCAGAAGATATGGCAGCAACAAGGACAGACAAGGCCTAGTCAAGGGAGAGGTTTCCAGAGGGGGTGGTGGATGAGGTCTGGAATGGACCTTGGAGAAAAGAAAGACCATGATCTCACTCCCACAGGCCTGAGGGAGACAAAGAAGCCTGAGAGAAAAGCCAGGTTTCAGAGAGCCGAGGAGGTGAAACCAAGAGGCTGAGGCTCTAGGGCTGTCGCTTAACCCAGTAAGAGGATTTCCAGAGGGTCGAGTACAAAGTGGGAAGGAGGGCAAGAAATGCAGGGCAATGATGACGAAAGCACCCTAGAGAGGACGCTGGGAAGACACCAAGTGGGTCCAAGGGGCAATAGGCTCAGCCATCACCTGGTGACACGAAGGCAGTTTAGCCTGGCTGCAATGCATCTCTGAAGGAGCCCTAGTGTAAAGTGCACAGGAGACCCTGTTCCCTCGGGAAGAGGGGGCTGTGGTGTGTCCTGACTACAAGGAACTCAGGGAGGGCTGTCGGGCTCAGGGTCCTGAGCAGTAGTTAGAGCCCAGTTAGAGCCCAGTGAGCTGTAGAAACTTTGAGAAATAAGGCTGCTCAGAGGTTGTGTTCACATTCCAAGCACTGTCAGGCCACTGGGTAGCCCAAGGCATAAAGCAAGGGATACTCTTAAAAAGTCATAAACAAATCTGCAGTTTAATTATGCACTGGTTTTTATATTCCATATAAGAACCTGGTTGAGCAAAGATTAATAATGACTCCTATAAAAAACACATATGATAAATAAAATCTTAAAAAAAAAGGGGGGGGGGCGCCTGGGTGGCTCAGTCAGTTAAGCGGCTGCCTTCGGCTCGGGTCATGATCCCAGGGTCCTGGGATCGAGCCCCGCATTGGGCTCCCTGCTCAGCGGGGA